AAGGATGTCACTTAAAATGATCACAATTGAGAAATGAGATTTGTCAGCAATTTGCTGCTTCTTTAGCCAACATTTTGCTTACAGTATCAGTATGATGTATTTTCCTTTCATATAGTGCCATTTTATCAAACAATCAAGTAACTATGTTAAAATCAGTTGTTGTATGCATAAAATGTGACTTAAAAGAAATTTCACTTCCTGATTAACGCCTTGAAATTGGGCATCTGCCTCTTTAAGAAACTCCTGCTCTTTCTGAAACTCCGCCTTCAGAAAGTCAACACGACATGGCTCCTCTATTAACCCTTTCACAACGTTTTCACCGGCGTTGCACTGAGAAGTCGCTCGTATCGTGACCTCTGCAGACTTAAACCAATTTTTGCCAGTTGTTCCTGCCAAGTCTGAAGAATCTGAGTGGGAAAATCATGGGGGAGGGATGTTCTGTGAAACTGCAGCTCCGGCAACCCTCAGTCCCACCCAGGCGTTTTGCACAGCTGAATGGTTGCTGTGGAGATTAAAGGATTTCTCAAACATGCATGAAAGAATCAAGGCAACACTCCAGGTGTGTTTTTGATGAGGGAATAACATTATAACTTGATGGAAAGCTTTAAAAAAGTCGATTTTACATAATACTGCCTCTTTAAAACGCTACCTGACACGCTCCACTAAAAGTCCCAGCACTCTCTCCGTTAGTACTAGTATTTGACACATGAAAAAATTTTTTAAAAATCTAACCCCAAGTACAAAAGTTATTCACTTTAATCCATAATGCAGAAAACATGTAGCACCATTGATTGAGATGGCAACAAAAAGTCTTCGGTGTTATGTTGTTGCTGTTGCCACACAGCAACAACAACACACCACTTACGAAACAGATTTCTCTCACCAGACGTCAGGCGAGAAACCGCGCAAAACGTCTCGAGACCAAACAAACATGGCCGACGACGAAGAAGAAACGACGGTGGTTTGTGGACTATTTTTCACCTGAGAAAAAAAAAACGAACAAAAAAACACAAGAAACGACACCAGCGTCTCCTGAACTTCGTGACTGTTGGTCACGGCGTACTTCTGTATTTCTGTCTCCTCGCTTTCCGACCGGCTACAGGTCACATTTGGCGGGCTGTGTTCTCGTTTGCTTTTCGGAAAGACCACACACACACATTGCAGTGTTGGGCCGAGACAACCCACCAAATATTAGATCGGCCCAGTCCCGATGTGCTTCTGAGAAGACCATCTCACTCGTAGCGCACCACACAGAAGATCTCATAAGATTACCTTTAGAGCCACCACAATAATTGGAGCAAGAAGAGAAAATTGTTTCAAAGCGCAACATAAATATCTCAACGTGTGAATTAGACATAAGTCAGCCTCTGAGCATAATCCAGAGCATAATGTGACAAATAAGTAGCCAGACATGAATTGATCAAATGCCAAACCAAACAGCAGGTACACGACGCCATAACTGAGAGAGCAGGCACTACGGAGCAGTGGGTGGGGGGGGTGTAGGTGCTGTTACCACGGAGCTAACAAGCTCCATACCGAGAGACGGGAGCATGAGGGAGGTAGGTTAGGTAGGCAGAGGGAAAGAGAGAAGAAAAGGCAAGGAGGAATGAAGAGGCAGGGTGAATGGATGGAAGGGAAGGGAGACATGCTGTGAAGAGTAGGCTCATGATGAAAGGCCAGGCAAAAAAAAAAAACTGAAAAACTCCAGGATAGATTGCCAGTGGGAAAAGAGTTGGAGAGAAAATGAGTGAGTCTGAAGAAAGCGGCAAGATTGGCAGAGGCGGTCGGTTGGGGTTACAGTCGGTCCAACTGTGAGGAGAGACGCTGGATTACTTCTTATCCCTCCTCCGGATATGCTGAGACGCTTATAGGAAGGCAGGGAATTTCCTGACACAAAGCTTACCTTTTTTATTATTATTATTATCGGCGGCTGTTGGGATCAGAACTTCCCTTCCGACTTATTTATTTCAGGGCTTTCTGTTCGACAACTCAAGGAAATCAGGGCAACACAGAAATTTAGTAACCATGTGTAAAATTCGATCAAAGGTTTTGACATTAGTGCAGGATTTTGGTGTTCATCTGCAGCACTCAGAAAACAGCTGAAGAAAAACCACTGCTGGCTGACCACATGAGCTTTCATCACGTGTACGTTGGACTTTCTAGGCCAATGTACAAAATTTTGAATAAAATGGGCGAAACAGCAGAGGTGTGAACGGCTCGCAAAACTGATCATCTGGGGTGGATTCACGACCAGCCCTGGTTAGTCTGCTTTAATCGAGCTAGTTTACTTGTCTGGAGCAGCGGTGGGGAATCCCAGTCCTCATGGTCCGGTGGTCTTGGATGTCTCCCTGGTCCAACACTTCAACCAAATAGCTGAATCACCTCCTAAGTGAAGTCAAGTTCTCCAAAGTCCTGCTAATGACCTCATTATTTGAGTCAGGTGTGTTGGAAGTAGAGACGCAACTAAAAGTTGCAGGACTCTGCCTCTGGAGGCCTGAAGTTGCCCATCCCCGGTCTAGAAAGTGCTGTCCATTTGGTAACACGTAATCGAACTCTGATCGAGACCACAAAGGTCAAACGATGGTCTGCCTACAAACCAGAAACCCGTCTGACTTGACTGACTTTGTGGAAATGCGAATCATAAAGGTCTACCAATACATCAAGTTTGCCGGACAAGAGAATACACAATGTTGGGTTCAAAATAAAGTTACGGGGCGGCATTTTAGAGATATGTTTGCAAAACTTTATCAAGTAATCATAAGATAATCCAGTTAAAGTAAAAAAAACCCCTGTGAAATGGCTCTTTATTGCAGCCCAAAATGAAACTATATAACAAATGCAAACAAGATGCCTCTAACGACGAAAACAGGGCAACTCAGGAACTTCTTCCTTTTTGTACACCGTTATCTGAGCTCAACCCCAGGAGGATCTATTGACGTTTTATTTGGATTTGTTCAACATAATCTCCATTTATCTGCCTGATGGTTCTTTAAGTAAGTTTCCGCCCGTTGGAAAGCGACAGGAGCTTAGGAATTGTGGAGTCGGGTAATTGTTTAAACCTTTAGCCGGTGCTGAGAGGGGATCCGTCAGGCTCTGTCTGATTCAGCTCAGTAGGGGACATCGATTGAGCGACCATGTCCTTCTGCCGTGCGCTCGCTCCGCAGTAATCGCCCGCCGCAATCTGTAACCTCAAGAAAGTGAGAGATGCCACAAGCAGGTAAGAGAGGAGACAAACGACTCAATCAGCCGCGGGGAGGTGCTGGGCTGGAGGGCCGATAGCGAGGCTAAATTAGGTTTCTAATCACCAGACACGGGTTTTAGCCAAGAGTATACGTCAAGTTGTGGTTTAATCACAGCTCTCTCTCTACCGGGCTACCCAGGCTCTCCGGAGACTCAGGAGTCTGAGGCAGATATCTTTTGATCGGAGCAAATAAACCTGGGTCACGGGGGATAAACCAAGCCATTAAATTCCAACTCTGTGACACAAAGAAATGTCCCTGCAAAGCTCATTCAAATAGCGCTGACCAAGCAAAGCGACGGGGCGAAGAGCTTTGAAATGCCTCAGCGTGCGTTCATATTGTCGCAGGCAGGCTGCTTTAGGAAACACATCTGAGGACCGCAGACAATGATGACTTAGTCCTGCCTTTGTCAGCATGCGGCCGTGACTAGAGCTGAAGTGTCTTTTCAAAGCACTTTAGACAAACGGTGGAAAACAGGCGAGTTCAGCAGAACTTTCAAACTGCAATATCTGGTGCTCACTTCTGCAGAGGATCCATTAAATGTGTCCTTCTGTCGGCACAATGCGGTGAAGTTTAGATTAAACGTCCAAAATACTTTGTTCAAATACAGTAGCGTTGCAGTACCAGAGCTCTGTCTTCAAAGCTATTGACTTTAAAGAGAATTATAAGTGACTCTATTCACCCAATCCTCGGTGTCAGTTTATCTCCCAGGTCCTGCAGTTGTATTCAAACAGGCTTTGTTTTACTTGATTAGTTTCTGCAGTACATAAGAACAAAAATGTAACGTCACTGGAGTCTGGTTGCTGTTTGTACTGTTATTGGTGTAGACACCAGCATTTTCCTCTTCTTCACCAGCTCCATCTCTCTTTCCGCATCAACAGACCCCATTTTGCATTTCTGGTGGGGAATAGAAGACGCTGGGATGAACTCTGTTCTCCTGTAACAGTAAAAGTTCGTATCTTACCCTAAACATGACCTCCAGTTGCGTACATGGCTGTCAGTGTGTACTGAAAGTTGCTTTATGAGTTTTCTAGTCACAAATGTGCCACAGGATGTGGAGCTAATAGCCAACCAGAGCCCTGGAGTATCACAATCATTGTTTCAATTTCCTATTGTTTTTACGCCGCTCCACTTGCTTTTTCCTTAATGGCTGAATTAATAACTTTCCTCCAACCACCAGTTTCCTCTGTGATGAGCATTAGTTCTATGTTACTAAATTAAACTTGGACAAAACGAATCGAACACAGTTGAAAACCAGAACCGGAAAATAAACTCAGCTAGTGCCTCATTTGAAAAAAATTAAAAACTGGAAGAGATATATTTTGCAGGCGAAATTAAAACTGTTTCGCCAAACATTTTTGTTCTCAAGACAAAATCAAATATTTGCAAGTGAACTACTCGGTGTATAATTTTACATTACACAATGCACTGTTAAAAATGTTCACAGTTTATAGTTGTAAACCGTGCATGATTATGAAGTGGAAGGAGAAAATTGGACATTTTAGTGAGTGAGGAACAATATTGTGAATACTCCTGAAGGCGGAATTTCAGAAGGAGACAGAGGCCCAATTTCAAGGCATCAGATTAAAAAGTCGAACTTCTTTTTAGTAATATTTGATATATGCAGCAACTGAAGGTACTTGGTTGTGCTATAAAATGGAAAACGCATAACAGCGCCCCTTTAAGCTCTTTTAGATGAAGGATTTCTACTACAATACTTGCCGTATTTGACCAAACCTTCTCTTTTCTCTTCGCTTTAAGCATCAAGATGGTGCTGATGTGGACCAGCGGCGACACCTTCAAAACAGGCTACTTCCTGCTCACAGAGGCCCCCGTGCAGTTCTGGACGTGCGGCCTGCTGCAGGTGTTTGTGGACGTCGCCATCCTGTTCCAGGTCTACTACTACAGCCGCTACCCACAGAAACCCGTGTCCCACACCGTCTCCCTCACCACCAGTGCCAAAGCCCTCTGAGGCATCGCCACGCGTCCCGAGGAAGCTCCGAAAGGCGAGCGGCGAGGAAGAGGGGACGCCCAAACGGGCGCACCAAAGGCGTTTCTGCTTCTGCACCCCGGGGGTCGCAGCAATACCTTGAGGAGCGCTCAACGGTCATTAAGACTTCCTTCGTTCCTGGCACTGAAAATGCAACGCATCATGCAATCGCACCCCACTCAAAAAATCAGCATGTGCATGTGGAGGATGTTTTATTTTTTTATTTTATATACATTTTTTTTTTTTTTTTTTTGCAGGAGCAAAAATGCAACTATATGAGAACTATAGATATGTTGAGAGTTTTTGGCGTCCACACATGCTGCTGAATGTTGCACGTTCTCTGCCTTAAGACTCGTAATCGAACGCGGCTCAATGCGTCACCAGCAATCTGAGCGTCGTGTTCCAAACGATCCTGAATGTACAGACGGGTTGGACAGAAGTTCAAAATTATTCTTTTTTCATTTGGGGGTTTTTCTTGTTTTTCTTTGACATGAGACCAAATCAAGAATGAATTCTGAAAATTTTTTTCTCCGACTCTCGACGACGTTACACTGGGCTGAAAGTGCATAACTTAGAAAAACAGAAAACATCCGTGGCCTTGAGATGGAGATAAGAAAATGAAGCTCCCTATGGCAGCAATATATGTTTTCTATCTGACGTTGATTACATTTTTTTTATATGGTTGCTATTTCTATTATTGCTCTGATGCCACAGATTTCAGCCTAAGCTTTGCTTTTCCCGGACAGTTTTTGCCTCCACTCGACTGTCGGGTCGTGACATCAGAAGCTGGGCTGATTCATGGAAGCGCATGGGTTTTATAATCTGGGTTACTGACATTGTGTTCATTGTTGATGCTGAAATGTGTCTCGTATATATAAAAAAATAAAAATACAGTGCAGGTTTAGGACGCCCTCCAAAAGGAGCCAGTCAGATTTTCTGCATGTTCAGACTTTGTTCCTGATTCAGATTACAAAAGCAGAAACACATTCATGTGTTATTTAATAATCCACACACGACATCGTCCATATGTTCCGAGCGAGACGTGACGCGTCACTTCTGTTTTATTTCTTCCCCTCAAATTTAAATCTCTCAAATAGTCAAACGGACTTTAATACAAAACGTCAAGATTCCAGTCAGGAAAAGGACGATAAGTGACCAGACCAGCCAGACCCATGTCCGATTGGTCCTGACGTAGAACCTGCTTGACAACATGAAGTAGGCTAACAGATCTCAAAAAGCTACACGTCGTATTTGCAATCAAATCGGAATAAATGCAATTATATTTATCGGTTTGTTTTCGGATTCAGCCCACCTCAGAGTCGTCGTTGGGAGGAATTTTGGTCGCTTTAATGTCAAGTACTTTTGGACTACAGTAAAGTACAGAGAGAGACAAAACACACCAAGTCCTCCTCTGAAAGCTTTTCTGGCAGTCTAGTCAAAGTCTTGACTTTGAGATGCCATTAAATGACAGGCATTTCTTGCTCATAAACCCTCCTAAGTGACAGTACTGACTGTTCAAAGAGTGGGTTAAAAATCCTCTGCAGTGAAATACTTTTTTCCAGTTACTGATTGTTTACATTTTCACATGGGGTCAGTTTGGTTTGGATGTCATTTTCCTTTGTTGCATTCATTAACTTTTGCATGTATTTTTATGTTATTTAGTTTGATCAACTGAAACAAAAGCCAAAAACAGAAGAAATCTGTAAATGGACAAATTCTTAATGCCATACATTTTTTTATTATTTTTTTAAGTATTGCGAAATTTTATTCACACTGAATACTTTAATCCAGTTCAGGTCTTTCACAGCGTTCAGTTCACCTGGGAATTTAGATCGACGAACAAAACCGCTTTAGTCCGTTTCAGAACTCTTTGTTCGTTTCTTTGGTGGATTCATTTGTAATTTCTCTTTTACAAGCTTAGCGTTCTGTGTCACTCGATCCTAAAAGCCACGTAACCGAGCCAAAGCGCTTTGTTCTGCTGGGGTCATGCGAGTTCGGACCGGGTCCGGTCAAATGAAAGGTATGAAATTCAAACTGTGCTACTGTGTCAGAATGGCATATGTTACTCCGGCTATTGTGTCACTGTCTTTTTTTATTTCTATTTTTTTCCCCAATATTTTTATATTATCAACCAAGTATTTGGTCTTGAAAGTTTAATGCTGAGATCCCTAAGAGAGCAAACTGTGTTTAGAAAAGCAAGTTCGGCTGCTGCCAGTCGAGTCGCTCCATGTATTTTGTATTAATCTTCATCGGCGCTGACAGAGAATGTGCATAAAGTCTCATGAGATTAGGTAATGTTCATATTAGGTCATTGGTGCAATTATGTGATTTTTTATTTTTCACCTTGTCCTCTTTCATTTCTGTTGCTCACAGCATCAACAATGAAGGGATAATTAGAACTACATTTTTTCAGCTGTCTGTTAGCCATTGCCAAAATGTCTCCTCAATACGGCCAGCTCACCTCAAAGCAAGTAACATGGATGTTGGGGTGATGTCATGCAGACACCGTTTTCAGTTGTAATTTTGAAAGCCAATTGGATTTTCCAAGTTTTAGAAGGTTTAAAGGTTAGTGACCAAGCCTGCTGCTTTAGCCAAAGCAAGTTGAAAAAGGTGTGTTTCTTAACATTTTCTACATTTAATGAGATTCAAACCATGAGAGTAAAAAAATAAATAAACGTTTGGTTGTCAAAGCTGTAGCTACAATATGATTGTTAGAAAACGATGACTCCCCCATACTCATGACCTGAAGAGACATTCCAGTTGATTTTCTACAACCTGGAACTTGGAAATTAAAAAATCTACCAACTTATTGGACGGGTTTGACATTCTGAAGGTAATAGAACAACAATTAAAAATACCACAATCTCAGTAAGAACATCAATCTAAAGCAGCAATGTGTAGAACAATTTCACTGCTGTTATTAAAACAGTTTGTCTGCCAACAAGCTCAGTTTGCCAACTGTAGCTTTAAAATGCAATCTTCTTGCCAAAGTGTGTTTTTCTTTTCAACTTGAAATACTTCCTGTAAAGTTTGTGTTGTTGTTTGGTTTGTAAATGAACTAAGTTCAGTGTAGAAAACCTTTTTCTCGGTTGTCTGGCCAACAATGCTTAGCAACAAATCAGTGCTACATTATATGTTCCACTTTTTTTGTGGCATTTCATGGACAATAAAGAGCAGAAATAACAAGAATAAGAAAAAAGTGGTTGATTTCAACATCTTTTTTTTCCCACAGCATTCTCATAGTAAAGAGATTAAGTCGCTGTTTCTTTAGCTGCTTTCTGTCTTACAGTTTGTCTTTGTGCTCTGAAGTTGGATATATATATATTTTTGTCTTTTTGAGGTAAAAGGCAGAAACACAATTATAATTCCAACTGAAAAAAGCTTGAGAGCAGCTTTAAGTTTGCTTTCCAACATGGCCGCATGTATAAAAAAAATGCAGTAAAGATGCCTGATGCTAAGCTATTTGTTAGCACCCCTGTTCCTAGCAGTAGTACAACAATTAGCACATCCCGTGTTTTCTTACTAGCTAGGAGCTCGTTAGCTAACGAGCTCTTCTAATTAGAGAAACTGGTTTTCTGGTAGAAGCTAGCTCCTAGCCTTAGTAGCCAGGAGCTAGTAAGAAAACAACAGAATACTCCTGACTTGGGAGACATATCTGATGCAGCATCAAGCTAACATCTGAGATAGAAAATTAGCATTGGCTCTGTTGCGCTGTTAGCATAGTAACATAGCATAGCTTTAGTAACCTGCTGTAAAGACCGATGACTTTGTCCTGCTTTGATGCCGATGCACATGACAGCGTGATGTAGAAGATGACTTTATTCATAGCATCGATTTTACAGGAATAAAAAAAGAAATGACTGAAAAGCAAAGTGTCTAAAATCATAATTAGACAAACATTAGTGTGAAAAGAACTCTTGGATTAAAAGGCGCATTAATAAAAAAATAAAATGGCCCGTTGGTAGATTCGAGCGATTACTCTCCAGCTTCATAGTAACATGTTCATGATTATAAGGGCACAATTAAGTGTGATCACTGTAATACTGCTGGGCAATGATGACGTCACATTGGTTAATGTTAGGCCACAGAGATTCACCTTCCATGTTCTAAAAAAAAAACACAATTATTTTTAATAACTGATTACCAAAGCTTGATTTGCTTATAAAATGTAACTATTTTTGTATGTTGTAAACATTCAACTTGTTCAGCAAAATCCACGTTTTCCTCTGTCAGTGAACGTCACTGACAGAAGAAGAAAGTGACTCTGTGGCACATTTTGTTTGCAACTATTTCACTGCACGCTTTTTTTCTTCTGATGCTGGTGCAAAGCGATGAACGGCTGTTATGTAAAGTCTCTCGTCTGTCTGGATCAGATCAAGTTGAGCTCAGACTGTTTTCAATGCATCATCTTTGTTATTTTTCTGTTTTCTCTCTAAACCCAGAAACCATTGGCTTCTTTCTTTTTGTATGTACCAAAAATATCAGTACCAACTGTTTGTTTTTATTGATCCTGCTACCGTTGCTTCATTTTTCTATGAAACTCTCAGTCCAGTTCGACGACTCACAGACACTCTGGGCTGCTCAGTGTTATCAGATGTACTGCAGCATCACCACCCAATAAAGAAGATCCTGCTGTTCCTTGGCTTTATGTGGTTTTATTTTCCCCTCTCCAGCTGTGGTCCTTCTCTGGGTTTTGGGCGTCCGAAGCCGTGAGCAGCACAGAGATTCAAATGAACCTCCTCGCTGGTGTAGAGCAGAGACCATAACAGGAAAATTTAAAAAAGCGAAGTTACCAGACTCTATTTGGACATTTTCCAAATTGAGAGACAATTTTTTTATACATATAATGAATTCTTTTCAAAACCTTCCGGGCTCCATTAACCAAGATGCATTGGCTCTTCATGCGAGGACACATTAACCTCAGTCTGAGTTGGTTGTTGACTCCATTATTGTGTCAGTTACTTAATGTAAAAAAAAAAAAGGAAAAGTTGTCAGTCAAAAACTGTCTATGACTGACATGAAAATGGAGGAGAAACTGAGTTACAGGCTGAGAGGAAAATTTATTAAAAAAATCAAATTCATAAAATAGTTCTGATCCAGTTGCTCTTCAGCGCCACGTTTGTGATGAAAGCAGGTCGGCGAGCCTCTTCTGCCTCATCACTGATTTGTAGAAACGATCAATCTGATTAGATAATTCAGTTATTGAGTTGAGCGGGTCAACTCATGTAATCGATTAGTCGTTTGTAACAAAGTGTTGTTTGTTTTATTTAAAACAGAAATTGAGTTATTTATTGGTGTCACTTAATTTATTTCTTGTGTTGCTTAAAAAAAAGTCCAGCGGTTAATTGAAAAATCGGTGGAACGTCAAAAGAAATTGATTAATTGATTAATCAATTAAAGAATGAATCATAAAAACAACCAGTAAAAAATTATTAGCTACATTTCTACTGTTTTGTCTGTTTTTCACCCTAAAAAAAGCTTTTTGAAAACTTTTTTTTGTTTGGTTGTTTTTTGGGATCAGTTTTTTCTCAGGCTGCATGCGGTCGGTGTAAACGGTCAAAATGACCCGAACCCTTTTGTGCGGGGACAGGCGGCTCTGACGTCAACGTTGACTTGCTTCAAATATTTAAGCCTCAGCCCGGGTCCATGTGGTTGAAATATTTAGAAGCTGCATGTGAGGGTTTGCTCCCGACGTTCACATGTCAGGAGAAAACGAATCTCGCCCAAAGCGGAACCCAATCCCGAAGAATCCTGGCAGATTTTCTTGTTCGTTATTTTTATGAGTGCAATTCATTAAAATCCAGGAGACAGGACTTATTCATTATTGATGAGGTTCGCTTTAAAAGAAGCATGAAGCCTGTGCCGATTTCAGAAGCTCATAATGGAGAAGTACGGAGCGTAATCTCCTGACAGCTTGAGTGCATCCCTGTGTATAATACATTGTTAAATCAAAGCCCCATTTACACAGGAGTGTGTTTATTATAGTCTTTATTACATTTTCCAATAGAAAAAAAAGCGCATTACTGTTCCTCAGGCTGTGGATTTATGATGCAAACTGCAAATTCATTTCAGTCTGTTTGTTCCAACACCTCCTCATCCCAGCTTCAAACGTTTCATGTTGTGCAGAACAGTTTCTGGAGGGAGATGCGTTCAAGCCTTTTTCTTTTTGGTCCTGCATTTAATCCAGAGATTCAGTCTGCAAGTGAAACATGTCTTTTACAAAGAGGTGCTTTGGGCGGTTTCACCATCAACAGTTGGTGGAGAGGTTTTAGTTTCTGTTGTGCATTCGCTCGACCTTGAAGACTACGACTTTTGGAGAACGAGGTTTGTGTGAAGAGATCGCTGAGATTCCGGGAATCACTTTGAGTCTCTGAGACGGTTTTTGATTCAGAGGCTGCAGTTCTGCTGTCAGCCGCTTGCAAAGAGAAACATTTACAAGTCGGTTTGGTTGTCTGACTGATGTCATTTATGCACTTATAAAAATCTAATATAGAGAAAAACCTCACCTAAAAGAGGGTTAAACACATAAATAAAGAAAAGTTATCATAACAAAAAAAATCTATATTATTATTACGATTAATGTTGTTGTTTTTGTCATTATTATTATTATTATTATCGGGGGAGGAAAGAATCAGATTTAGACAAATGGGTTTTCTGGTCTCAAGCAGGAAAGAGCTCCCCTGGTGGTCAGAACAGTTACTGCAAGACAAGAGGTCTTTTTTTTCTCCAAGTGGGGTTCTGTCCGCACAACATCAGTAGTCAGTATGTTACTTTAATAATTTTGACCAAATGGAATTAATTTTCTGTCTTTTCTATGTGAATTATCAAGGTTTTCCACTGCTGTCACTGTTGGATTAAATAATTTTCTTGTGATCTGTCTGAATTATGCCTGGTGTCCCAAGTTGAGTTTGCATGATCCACTTGTTCAGGTGTGGGTTCAAAAACCAATTGTCAAGAAAAATTCAAACTATCAGTCTATGGTAATTGACAAATAGGTATTTTTTTAAACAAATCTGTAAGTCATTGCTGTTGAAATCTAAGTAAACTTTTAAGAGAATTATTTATACTTGGTGAACTTTTAACTTTTCTACAAAGCCCATCTGATGCAGAATTGGACAAAGGATCAAAGAAAGTCATGGCTGATAATATCATGTCTTCTCAGTCTAAAAACGAGTTACCAGGAAGAATCTGTTGAGACAGATGTTTGCTTCCTTTCAGAAGGAAAATGTTTGCATTATAACAGGTTGTCTGGTCCACGGCTCTGTTTTTATTTACAAATCGCAAAATGAGTGAAACTAAAACAGAAACCTATCGGTGAACATTCCCAAAATGCTGCAAAATTAGCTGCTTATATTATACGTTAGCATGTTGTTAAAGGGTATTGCATTCTTAAAATATTTATGTTGCTTTTTTTTTAAGAAAAGGAAGATGCCTCAATTTTTTTTATTAATACTATCCTCTACTTGCTATCTGCTGAACCTCGAAACCCAGGCGACGTAAAAGTTGTACTGAGCAACGTCTAGACTCTCCGTGTTCATCCAAGTGCAGCCCAGACTTTTGGTTGCAAAATGGTGGCTGTGTGCTAGCAGGGTCAATGTTACTCCGAGTCAACAGGTGGTGACAAACACATAGCAGATACAGCAAAAAAACTAAAAATAAATAAAGGATCAGATCAAAACATCAACCAACTTGGTTGCATTTTCGCCCCAAAGAAGCCATGTTGAAAACGTAACATCCATAAGCAGAACGAGATAAAAACAGCAGCCATGCCTGTCGAATATGAAGCCCTTTAAGCTCTCTTCTTCTTGGTATTTGAGGTCTGATTGTGCTAAATTAAAAAGCAGCAGGTGGGTTTATACAAATGTCTTTGAAGAATGTCTGTGCTCTTAGTGCGAACAGTAGATTTGATCTTCCTGCAGTCATACTCTGATTTGTTTAGACATCAAACTTTAAGCCCATTCTGGAAGATGCTGACAGCTCCTCTGATATTTAGCTCAGTGCTACCAAGCTGTGAAGTATTTTGTTGTGAATTTTGTATTAGTAGAAGGAATTAGTAGCATAAATATTGTCAGTGGTGTAACAGGGTTTGGTGAAACGTGAAGGAGATGATTTAGAGGGAATGTGCTGGATACGTTATACATCATGCAGCTGCAGAGGTAAAAACCTGGAATGAAGTTCCATCAGGTTTTTAGCTTAGCTTTGAGTCAAGTCACCACTCAACTGAACGGCCAGCGTCATTTTAACTCTGAAACTCAACAATGTTGAAATAAAATTAGGCACAGATGGAAAACTTCAGGCTGAGTTTTACAGTCTGACAGTAAGTTTATCGCAAATGTCAGATTCTTTTTTTTGTGATTTCAGGAAATCCAAACTTTTTCAAAAAGAAAACGTTTTTCCTTTTGTATATATATATATATATATATATAAAATTGACTACCTGCAATATATAGATAGTTAAAAATGTGATGAAAAAGTACTTGACTTAAAATGACAACAAACTGCACTGTATTTTATTGGACTTTTAAGAGACAAAGGACGAAAACAAACAGGCACAAAACTGGGAAGCTGCAGGAAGTTTAAACATCTGGAAAGAGGAGCGTCGGTTGTAATCAGGCCCTTCAACAGACTGAGATCTTCAGGTTTTTAGTGAAGTTCTCGAACCTCAACAGCTGGATTTAAAGTAGAATTAAAGCAAACATAAACCGACTCTGGTTTACCAAATAGATGGTTTCCAAAAGCGTCTGTATTTCATTCAGGAGCGTCAAAATGATGAGGGATGATTAAAACGCAAAAGGATTTCCACTTATTTATGTAGAATTTTTCCTTCCGCTTCTTAATAATGCACAACTTTTTGTGTGTCAATCACATAAAATCTCCCCAAAAATACATCACAGTTTGCATTTTGTAACGCGGTCAAGAAGTAAAAGCTCAAGGGGAGTAAATATTTTTGGAAACTAACCGTATTTTTAAAAACGGCTCTTTCAATAAACACCTCACACAATTATAAGCCGTGTTGATGAAGGTAATAAAACGCTGTTTGATTTATTTGTCTAGACTCAATTTTGAAAATGTCACGTCTGTCTGCTTGGTGGTTCGGATGTAATCGACTCATTCAGTCTGAACTTTATGAGAACACTGCAGTGGATGCGACCTGATTTCTGTACATAGTGAACAACGCCTGTCTTAACTACGATGTGTTTAAGGGAACAGGAAAGTGGCATCTTTTGAAAAGGATCAGCATGAGGTTCAGTCATCCCATCGTTCTATACAAGAAATTACTTTTTTTATCACCACTTGCAGATGTAGATTGTGTTTCTTTTGTTTTGCGTGTGCGTGACTTATTCCGACCTCACCTCTAAACAATTGGTTTAGTCAAAGGCCAAAACAAACATGAAAATGTAAAGTTGAAACCAGATATTTACACACACTATAAGTATGTTATCAAATGAAACCAAACAAAATATTTCTATTTCCTCTATGCCAGAATTATGAGAGGATTGTTTTAGACAATCCTTTTCTCTAAAGCTGCCTCTCCATACTTCAAATTTGGTACTATTTTTTCTTGAAAGTTTCCCTCTTTTTCCTCCAATATGGCCAAACATACAGAAAATTTCAGAAGGCATTGGAACCAAATACAAAGGGCTATGTTGATTTTATTGCATTTTTAAAAAAAATCTTTTTCCATGTCAGCTGGTCAGAATCTTTCCCTTTGCCTTTGGTGTCGATACACATTTAGCAGCAAAACACACTGATCTCTGGGACACATCCATCCATAAGTGTGTATCCAGGTAACTCAAATGGCATCATCATCTAATACTGTTCAAAAGATGTTAGTGGAGATTTTAGTAATTGTAACTCAGAGGTTCCCAAACCTTCACCAAACAGCGTTAGCTTCTAGGGGTGAGCCTCTGGAAGCTAACGCTACAAGAAATGCAACAAAATAGTTAGAGAAGTATCAACTTTTAGATTTTTTTTTTCTCATGTTTATTCTTCATAACAGGGCGTTTCTTCTGTCTTGGTTTAACCATTATCTTGTCCATTTGGCTTTGATAGCATAGCTATGTTAGCTTTGCTAGTTTACAGAGCAAAGCAACTTTACAAATTTGACTGGCAGCAAATCAGAAAGATGCGCATGGAAATTAACATTTAAATAACATATTTTAATGTATATTTTATAATAACAAAAAACTATTTGTGATTTTTAAAAATTTGATTAAAAATTCTATTTTTTATTTTTTTTCAGTTTTGGTTTTCTGAAGACCCCTAGGCGCCACCTGGTGGCCCCCAATTTAAAAACACTATCTACTGACTTAAAACTGGAAACGTTTGTCTAAACAATGGATGTATGTAAATATCTGATTTCTGCTGTATGTATCTTCACATAATGTATGGCTGACAAATGGAGTTAAAAACACTGTGTGTTTCAGTCCAGGCTCTGAAGAACAGACTGTGATGCTGTGGTGTTAGATTTCTTTTCACAAGCTTCCCGGCCATCAGTCTTACGTTGCTAAAGGTGTTTCATCTAGGATATTGTGCTATTTCTGAAATGTCAAAGTAAGATTTGACTAGACTACAAACGAAAAGATTTCTGCTGCTCCTTTGTAAACCTGGCGACCCGCAGATATAATCTGATGCAAGTCAAAGCAGGGAACTCTCCCTTCTCTTCAGCTTGTTGTCTTTGAATTCTCATGACGACTGTCACAGCTTCCCCAGAAAAGTCACTCCACCGCCGGCATCTAAGTGTTCATGGAGGCTCTAATCTCAGCCGCCCTCTGAGCAGCCATGGACTTCCTCCTCTGCGCCGCCACCACCGCAGTGGCCTCCGCCATGCCACGGTAGCTGTCCGTCTCCTGCGAGTCCTCGCTGTTCTGCGACTTGGTGCTGTCCTGCGAGTCGGGCTTCTGCCTCAGCGCCCTGTTGTGCTCCTCCTTCAGCTCCACGTAGGAGCGGGAGAAGGTGTGAAAGATGGAGGTGACGGGGAAGGCCATGAGCAGGATGCCGCTCAGGATGCTGCTGAGCGCCACCACCTGGCCCGGGATGCTCCTGGGGACCATGTCGCCGTAGCCGACGGTGGTCATGGAGATGACGGCCCACCAGTAGCTGCCGGGGATGCTGGTGAACTCCTGCTTGGCGCCCAACTCGCTCTCGGCGAGGAACACCAGCGGCGCGAACAGGGCCATGGCCACGCAGAGGAAGAGCAGCAGCAGGCCGAATTCGCGCGTGCACCTCTTCACCGTCAGGCCCAGCGTCTGCAGGCCCAGCGAGTGGCGGGCCAGCCTCATCACGTAGAAGATCCGCAGGGCCCGCAGGACCCGGAGGACCAAGCCCACCTTCTCCAGGTAGTTGTTCCCCGAGCCCGCAGGCTTTCCCCCAACAGACAGAGAGTCCACAATCAGGGTGATGTAGTAGGGGAGGATGGCCACCACGTCGATGATGTTGAGCGGCGTGCGCAGGAACGCGCACTTGCTCTGAGTCTGAATGAAGCGCAGAAGGAACTCCAGGGAGAACCAGGCGACGCAGACCGTTTCCAGAACGAAGATGTTGTAGCACCTCTGGGAGCATTCACCCTGCAGACGGAGAGAGAAAAGGAAGACCAGTGTTAGGGTTCGACGTGAGGACATACACCGCTTTGCTAAAGTAGGCGCTAGGCTAGACAGAAGAAAATAGGCTGGTCCAAGAACAGATTAATGGTAAATCGGTGACACTTGAACGGGCACTTTATCAAATCCAGAGGACTTCACTCCTTCACGGACACATTCAGATGGTTGTTGGCTACCAGAAATAACACATTTCCTAAAGCAGACATTATTAAAAAATGAGAAGTTGTCTTTATCAAAAGAAAAGAGTTTTGTTTTTTGTTTTTTAGCTGAAATGAAGGGAAAATGTCTTTTTGGATTGGAACAGTTCCAGGCCCTCGACATAACATGACATAATGTTTTACTATATTATTTGCTTCTAAACTCACCAACAAGTGGTACAACAATAAATTATTTTCATTGTCATCTGTAAAGGACACATTTAGAGAATGCAACATATTTCAGATTTGAATGTCTCCAAAGTTTTCCCCAGGTGTTTGTGATGTTCCCTAATGTGCTCTGACAACCTGAGGCCTTCACAGTACAGATGGATTTGTACAGAGAGGTTTTCTTTACCTAATAAGAAAGTGACTTCTGAAATCAAACTGCTAAACTTGATTTTATTTAAGCGTAGTGTAGTAAAGAATATGCCTTTTTTTATTATTATTTTCTTATGGAAAAGCCTGACCATATATATTCTTTTGTGGTCTATCACATAATCCACATCAGATACACTTCCCGGTTGCAACATGACAAACGGTGGGAAGGAACCACAAGGCATTTCCAAGCGTTTGATCCGATTCTTGAATTCATTCGTAGACAAAGAAGATTGAACGTCGGAACAAAGACGGGGCACCGGTTCTCTGGCACAACAAAACGCGACGCAGGAGGTGCTGAAAGATTCATGAAATGTAAAGCAAAAGGCTTTGATTGCCAAGTCTTGAAACCCAGCCTGACTCACACATCAAAACCCGGGTGATCAAGAGGTGAGAGCTGGGCAAGGTGTAAGATGTGCAGATGTTGGGAGTTAAGTTCAAATGAGGCCAAGCAGCGCTTCCCTTTCCCCCCAGCTTAACGCTCTCTTCTCTTGGCGGCGACCGACACGGCGTTCATTAATATTTGAGTTTATGATCTAAAGGATTTATTGTGCGTTACGTAAAAGTCACACTGAAGATTGAAAGTGAGTGTATTTCTTTTTGTCTCAATCATTAATCATATTAAAGACTAAACAATTTTTTTCCCCCTGATAATATTAATGGACTGGACTAAGATTTGTGGCTGCAGGTGGCTAAGAGGAGCTGGCCTCAGAAAAACAGGAGGTCAATTCAAGTTCAATAAGAGAAAGAAACAAAAATACTTGCTTTCTGAAAAATGAGTAGCTTAAACAAAACGTGTGGCACCTACTCCCATTTAGGTTCTTTCATTTCTAATTAAAATATTTAATTATCTTCTGCACTATATTAGTTTAAACCAACACATCAACGCAATTGCTTTGCACAAAACAGCGCACCAACATCAGTTTTTGTACATAAACCGTTTTCTCATGAATTTGCTCAGTCAGCCTCCTGCAGTTTTCAGAAGCACACACTCAGCTCAGCGCATGGCATGTGTTCTTTTTCCTTTTTTGCCCCCAGAGACCTGAAACTTGCAAAACCCATTAAGGAGCATGTAAATGACTGATCGGCAGAGCCAGAGCTGCAGTTTTCTCCTGCAGTCACAGCGGCGGTAATAAACTACTTAAATGACGGTTCGCGCCAAAAGTAAGACGAGGCAGTAATTGAGTTGAATTTAGAGAAATGATGGAGTAGCAGCTCTAATGAAACCTGGCACAGGCTAATTTATCAAATGGCGGATATTCGGCCTCAACCAAAAACGTCCAGGTTTCAATATTTGGATGGATATTAGCTGGAATTGTCCGACTGGAGGAGGTAATTTCACCCCCTCACTTCAGGGAGCGCTTGTAATCTTAGGAAGGCTGCCTAATGTTGCTTCTGACACAAGATGGAGGAAAACACAATAAAATGTGCCACTTTTCATTCGGCCAGGATACATTAGCATCACAGTCCCACTTTTCTTTGAAGACTTAATGGCCTTTCAAGCCCAAACTGTCGACTGCAGGCGCAGAAATAACATATTTAATTGATATCCGCATCGCATGAAGTTTTGGAAATTGAATCGCGGCTGTCACGCATCAAACTGAGTGCAGAACAGTGGCAGTAAACGCCGGCAACTCTGCGAACGTTTCCTTCTGCTTTTCCTGTCGACATTGTTCAGGTGTCAAACGAAGCAGCCCTGATTGTATGGAACATTCGTCTTTGTGTTTTCTACACCCGTTGACAGTCTGAGTCCTGTCCCAGCAGGTGACGTACGCCCTGCACAGGCCATCAGTCCATCACAAAGCAAAACACAAACCCTTCACTGGTAAGGCAAATCAGGAGGAAGCAACCAGGCCAACAGGCAACAAGAATCCCTGGAAGAAAGTCACTAATGTAGAGATCAAGCAGAGAGGCCTTGGCAGAGACCTGAACCCTTGACCCACAGCACACTTTACAAAGAAAGATACAATGCCAAGATGACAATATCTGGTAAAACGAAGAAATGCTAGAAACCTCAAAGGCCTTCCACCATTTCAGCCATGTGGTTCTGTGGGTGGCAGAAAAATCTCAAAAGAGACTGAGTCCTTCAAATGTACAATTATATAAAAAATACTTATTTTCTCTCACTGGCTGACAAATTTGGTCTTATAAGTGCCAGAAAGATGATTTTTTTTTTAACCATTCCCTTTGGAGTTTGCTTGTTTCCAGATCCTCTCGATTTAAAAAGAAAACCAAAAGTAAAAACTATTTCTAAACGCCATTAATCCAAGATGGCTGGCAGCTGCTCCTCGTTCAGCTGTCACCAATTTCAATCAATTGTACAACCTGCTGTCTCACACATCCAGTCACATCACATGCAGCTCCAGGCTGTAGCATCAGAATTAGCACCAGCTAGTTAGCTCAGATGCTAATTCTGGCACTATAGGAGTGACATTTCTGTCCTAACAATATTTACTTTTGTTTCGTCGCTGTGCAAATCGGATTAAATATGACATGCCAGGATATGTGTCCGATTTGGTGCCGCCTATGGAAGTGGCACAGATCTGATATTTTCTTTAGGTGAAAATTTCAGAATCTGGTCATTCAGTTGGCCATGAAAACGTTGGATTTGGCCCCCATTTTGTCTGCGCCAAAAAAATCTCTGAAAACACACGGAAATTTCAGAGTTTCGAAAGTTAAAAAATTTGAAACTTTTGAAACTCAAATGTAGTTCTTTTCTCAAAAAGTTTTGAGTTTAATCTCAAATTTCAGATTTGTTTTTTCTTATAAAACAAACTTCATGCTCAAAAATGTCCTTTTTCTGTTTTTTTTTTTTTTTGGAGAAAATTCACATTTTTCTTTTCCTAGTTACAATGAACCTGATACGCCTTTGATGGAAGAACAAAAGTAAATAAAGTGCAATCCAACACATACAGACATGAATCAGAGGATATTCATATGCAAAAGTCATTTTAGGATGTTTTGAAAGCTACCTATCACTTTTTCACCCACTTCTCAATTTTTTATACAATGCATTTGACTGCAATCCCAATAAAACATGGCAACATTTTTTTGTTTTTTCTTTTTGTGATGTAAAAAAGAGGAAAAGCATAGACTTTTCCTTGTGCAAAAGTGTGAAAGCTTTCATCAGCGTTTGCTTCCCTTCGCTGCACAGCGCAGATAAAAGAATGAGCGACTTCTGCAGAGACACTCATGGATGTCCCTGAATAAATGCACACTGTTGAGGCATAAACACGGGTTGCAAAGAGGAGTCAAGGTGCAGGCTTTTAAACGTCTGAGCAGGTGATGAAACATCCCCACTGTGGCTGTAAAGGTTTCATAAAAGCTGAAAAACAACTTTAGTGAAACATGGAAATAGTTCTCTCCAGATGTAAACCTTACATTAGAGCTAAAAGATGTGCAGACCCTGAACTTGGAAAACAGATTTGACGGGAATTCAAGCGTCAAGCTCTCAGGACAAAAGTCAACAGATTACATTGCCTCCGAGGCCAGAGAGACTATGTTTGGATGCTTGACTGTAAATCAGGAAGGTCCACGTCACAAAAGGCAGAGCATTTTATCACCCATTAGTCAGCTTTACCACAGACTGTCTACTGGCCTGAATCCACACTCAAGTTAAAATTACCAGTCCTGTGCAGCTGCTGGCAGGCTGCAGGCTCGGCTCTCTTGTGTACAAATGTGGGGAAGCTCTGTTACAACGAGGTTAAAAGCAAACGATCTGCTTCATTCGGAGGGAATGTTCTGCCAAATTGGATTGGAAATTTCAAAACAAAAGCAATCTTTGTTCACACTACTGAGAAACATTTGGACGCGTTGCAAACTCCAAAATCTCAAGCAATATGAATACACTCTAAAAAAAAGAAGAAAAAAAGGTAGGAAGAGAAGGAAGGAAGAGTGTAATTTGGATATTATTTGATGAAAAACATGCAGTAATTCATGCAAGAGGAGACATAACTGAGCAATCAGAATCAGAATCAATCTTCTACAGAAGCACGACAACGTCCGTTTCAGTGCGGCTCTTCCTCAGAGAACAGAAATGATCAACAGAAGTCGTGTCGACAGGTGCCTCTCTTCATCTCAACCCACATGTTTACTATCAAATTTAGGTATGGTGGTGGTTGAATGCTTGTTTGCTGAATCATTTCCATGTTGATTTGCATGTATGAAATATACAATCCGACTGAAAGAACCACTTTTGAATATTGCTTCTGAATTTGAGACTTTCTGAGCCCTCAGCGGCACAGATCCACCACCATCCTTGACAAGAGTCCTTTTTCATTTGTTCATCCTTTGTGTCATACCAAATCATTGAAATCTCAGTATTAGTCCCACATAAAACACACAGGAGCTGATCTGCTGTTCGCTGACCGAAATTAAACTGAAATTCAAGCAAAA